GCCTGTTAATCACCTGCTGATTGAAATGTGTTGAAACAGGGTTAAAACTAAGACATGCTGGATACCGGCCCTCCAGGCCTAAATTGAATACCCCTGCTCAATGGTCTCACCGAACTCCTCCCACACCCTGGTTTTTGCCCCGGTGACCACCTGAGCCGCATTCCATATCGATTGCCAGTACCCATCAGCTGCCTCTGGAGTCCCACAGGCCCAAAAGTCTCGATAGGACTCTTTCTTAAGCTTGACAGCATCCTTAACCACTGGTATCTACCAGCGAGTTGGGAGTGCCACCACGACAGGTACTGATGACCCTGCGGCAGTGACTCCGGTCGGCCGCTTCAACAATGGAGGCATGTAACAGGGCCTGCTCAGACTCAAGGTCCCCTGTCTCCCCTGGGATGTGTTTAAAGTTCTGTCAGAGGCAGGAATTGCCAGACAATTCCAGCAGACCCTCACAATACGTTTGGGCCTGCCTGGTCTGACCAGTATCCTCGCCCAACATCAAAGCCAACTCACCACCAGGTAGTGGTCAGTTGACAGCTCCGCCCTCTCTTCAGCCGAGTGTCCAAGACATGCGGCCGCAGATCATATGAGACAACAACAAACTCGATCATTAAGCTGCAGCCTAAGTGATCCTGGTGCCAAGAGCACATATGGACACCTTTATGTTTGAACATGGTGTTCATTATGAACAGTCCATGAGCACAGAAGTCCAACAACAAAACAAATTCAGATCAGTGGGCCATTCCTCCCAACCACACCTCTCCCAAGTCTCACTGTCGGTGCCCATGTTACGGCCAGCGCCGTTTGGGTTTTGTGTTTTTACTTCTCCTCCTTGTGTTTCACCCTCATGACTGAGGCCCTGTCCACACGTAGCCAGGGATCTGCCAAAACGTAGATATTTTTCTACGTTTTGGCCTGTCATCCACACGAAAACGGAGTTTTTTCACACGAAAACGGATCTTTTTAAAAACTCCGGCCAAAGTGAAAATCTGCGTTTTCTCCGTTTTGGGTGTCTGCGTGTGGACAGACAAAGCCGGAGTTTTAAGGTTCGCAACGTCACTTTCCGCGACAAAAAAATGCTGACATCACGTGTGCGACCTGTGTTTACACTAGCCGACAGCATGGATGCCCTCAGAGCTGCGCTCGCTTTATCAATTGTCCAAGCGCTTTTTGCTTGTTTGTTTTTGCAAGCGGAATTGCTGCTCCTTGCGGAAGACCACAGACGAAGGACGAGGTTAAGAACGGGGGAAGTACTGCCGCCTACAGGTCTGGCATGTCCTTAACAACGTATTTATCCAGGTACGTGTGGACAGAGTTTTTTTTTTTTAACGAGGTGGTGTGGATGCAAGTTTTTGGAGGGGCGGATATTCGTTTTTAAAAAACCCGGCTCCGTGTGGACTAGGCCTGAGAGGAGCTGATTTGCAGTACCTGGCTCCTTCCATATTGCCTGGCTCCACCCTGAAGCACCAAGCTGTTGGAGGTGACAATCAACAGCTGACTGAGGACTCGAAGCATAAAATCCTCCTGGCTGATATCTTCTGAGAGCCGCTGAGTTGTGTCCTTGGTGTGCTTTGTTTTAAATCACTTTGTGGAACAACACTGTGTAATTCTGTGCTGGGAAAAAACTCGTAACTTCAAAACCTTTGTTTTAGCTGCATTTTCTGTGTAGGGAAAACCTACACTTGTGATTTTTTTAAATCTATTTTTGCAATCAAGACTCAGCATAAAGATGATCTCAATAAAACAAGGAGCAGCTTTCTGTATTGAGCCTTTATAAAAAAAAAAGATGGTGCCGTTGGCAGTGCCTAATTTGAGCCGGATCTTTCCGGAACGAGATCCGGGAACTATCTTATTTTGAAAGGACCGTTCTGGACACTGTCTGCTAGGATCTGGCAACTCACGTGACAAACTTGTGCGATACTCAGGATTCAAATTACAGGTGAGCTAGGGAGCTCCTGGAAGCCCTCAACACACCCAGGGGGAGTCCGAAACGATCCTGGTTCTACTTATATTACATTATCTATGTGGACTCTCTGGGGATTATTTCGAGCTGAGAGATGCAGAGCTCTGATTTTTGATGCACTCCAGACAGATGCGTCCTGAGCACGGCCACAGCAACATTATCAAAGTGTCGCCACCTCAAAAACAAATTTAACATGCAATCGTTTATGTCGGCTCATATCTTTTTATGCTTTCTGTCTTTTATTTGTGCCTGATGCGTTTTACTGCTGCGGTACAGAGCGCATCACCTGTTTTGTCCTCCGGTGAATTCACCTCGGTGCGGTCAGCGCGCACTCCGCTGTTTTTGCGGTCGGTAGATCTTTTTGAACTGCAGTTCAAAGGTAACTCATAAGGTGAAAAAATGTGAAGCCAGGTAGCAGTTTTTCTTTAGGATTGAGAGGAGATGCAGGAAGATAACAGAGACAGGACAGAAAAATAGTCACATAAAAAACAAGTTAGTTTTTGTACCTGGTGGTTGCAACAAACAGACACCATTGAAGGTAATCAGAAGAACAGACAATGAAATAATTATTTCAATGTTTAGAGCAGAAGCAGCTGGATGTTTATGACCACAAAATTTCAAGTGAAGCACACTCCTTTTATGTCTTGTGTTTGCTCAAGATCCATATTTCCGTTTAGAAACCGTTTCTCCTTCGTGGATCTACCTGCCCGTCAGAGCATTTAACCACTGGGTGGTCAGCTGATGCTGCTGTCAGTCATTGCGGGAATGTGTACGGTGTGGGGAAAGTTTTAATTTATCTCCTCTGCCTGAGCTGATGGTGACTCGCGGTAGTGATGCGCCTTTTGCGCAAAATGCGGCCCTTCATGGAGCTCGTGCCAGATAAAGGATGAGTCTGATGATCGGATCATCAGAACGACAGAACCTGATCATCATGATCTGTACCTGACAGCCGCTGTTTCTCCCTCACCAACCCACCCCATGTGCCCAGCATTGTGTGCTGTACAATAATTAAACTGTCCCAAAATCTCCATCTTAAACCGGTTCTCCCAACATGACCACATACAGGCCAGCCACATGCATATGTGGCCAGAGCTTTCTTCTTTTTCAATCTGTCCTTTTCTGCTCCACTTTCCTGGTCCGTCTAGGTCCATTTGCCTCTGGGGCCAAAGGTGTGGTGGTGCTGTAGCCACTCTGGGGTGGTGGGTGTCTGCAGTGCTTTGCCAGACCCTGACAAAGTGAGAGGAGGGGGTGTCTTTGTGCCCAGTGTGCTCCGTTTGTGCGAGCATCAGGACAGCAGATGCCTTGATGAGCTGCATGACGGATCGCTCATTTAGATATTAAGCACGTCATGACCGGCAATCACTGAGCGGGCCAGGTTAACGGCCAGGCCACTGGGAAATCTCCCGTTTCTCCCGATTACCTGTCCGCCACTGAAGAGATGTGTGTTGACTTAGAAAATGTGGGCGCAATTTTTAATTTTAATTACTTGTCAGATCGGGGGGCCGTTCCTCCCAACCACACCTCTCCAGGTCTCGCTGTTTGTGCTCATGTGAGCATTAAAATCCCCCAGCAGAACGAGGGAGTCACCGGAAGGAGCAGCACCCCCTCCAAGGTCTCCAAAAAGGGTGGGTAGTCTGAACTGTAGTTTGGTGCATAAGCACAGACCAAAGTCAGAACCCGTCCCCCCACACGTAGGCAGAGGGAGGCTACCATCTCATTCACTGGTGTAAACCCCAACGTACAGGCACCAAGATGGGGGGCAACTAGTATACCCACCCCTGCTCGGCACCTCTCAGTGGGAGCAACTCCAGAGTGGTAGAAAGTCCAACCCCTCTCGAGGAAACTGGTTCCAGAGCCAGAGCCATGCGTTGACGTGAGTCCGACTAGTCTGAACCCCTCAACCTCACACACCAACTCAGGCTCCTTCCCCAACAGAGAGGTGGCATTCCATGTGCCAAGAAACAGCTTCTGTAGCCGAGGATCAGACCGCCAAGGCCCCGCCCTCGACTACCACCACCACCACACTGCACCCTACCCCTTTGGCCCTTCCCACAAGTGGTGAGCCCATGGGAAGGGGGACCCACGTTTCTTCTTCGGGCTGTGCCCGGCCGGGCTTCATGGGTGAAAGCCCGGCCACCAGGCGCTCGCCAGCGTGCCCCACCTCCAGGTCTGGCTCCAGAGGGGGGCCCCGGTGACCCACGTCCGGGCGAGGGAACACAGTTTCCATTTATATAATTCATCATAAGATGTCTTCGGGCTGCTCTTTGTCTGATCCCTCACCTAGGACCTGTTTGCCATGGGTGACCCTACCAGAGACATAAAGCCTCAGACAACTTAGCACCTAGGATCACTGAGACACTCAAACCCCTCCACCACGGTAAGGTGACAGCCCAGGGAGAGGAAATTTAATAATTTACAAATAATTTATTACATGTCCACCTCAGTGGACAGTGTGCATTCTGAACATGAAATATGTTGGCTTGACTTACTGAAGTCCAAATGGAGGAGCTTAAATGCAACTAAGTCTTAAATAGCTTATAATAATAATAATAATAATAATAATAATAATAATAATAATAATAATAATAATAACAATAATAACAATAATAATAACAATTGTGAGTACCTGTCCATAGTGACCAATGACCATTATGCCTCAAAGGGTTCAAAGCTTTTGAAGCTCAAGATTTGCCTCAAAGAGACCATATTTATTTTACATTTTAATCCTCTTTGACCAAAATAAACAACAAAAACCAAAAGTAAACACTAATTTGGTCATAACTTACCGAAGAAGAACTTATTATGATAAATGTCATAAAGACTCTTGATTTAGATGCAGCATTGTATTTTAAATCATGTGAAAAGGCTCACTTTGTTATATGTAAAAATGTACATTGGGACAAAATGAGAATGTCCCTTATGAATACAAAAGGCCTAAATTATTAAGTAAAATAAACTTTATTATTATTATTATTATTATTATTATTATTATTATTATTGTTGCTGTTGTTGTTTTTGTTGTTAGCAGTATTACCTCCACCTCGAACGTGCGTTCGCTGTTATCCAGGAAGATCACGCGCAGCCGGAGCTTCGTCTCCTTGGAGACGCGAGGCTTGGTGGTGAGGCTCCCGAGGGTCCCGGTCCGCCGGTGTCGGTCTCCCATGCTCCTCAGGTCCAACTGGAACCACAGCGGGTCTCCGTTACATCCATCTCCCTGAGAGACCGAGTCTGCCTCACGTGCTCCTCGTCATCATCATCATCATCTCCCTTCTCATCATCAAACCTCTGATCCCGTGGCGGCTGCTGTGGGAGCGCGCGCTCTTCGGGTGCGTAATGACTCGATCCCGCAGCAGGGACCCGGTACGGACTCGATCTGGCTCTGAGTCAGAGCTGTGGGGGCAGTAACTGGGGATTACTAGTTACATTTCGGTAATCCGCAGGGTTCTTTTAATTAGTTTCTTGTTTCCATTATATTCTGCAGTGATCTCTCTCTCTCTCTCTCTCTCTCTCTCTCTCTCTCTCTCTCTCTCTCTCTCTCTCTCTCTCTCTCTCTCTCTCTCTCTCTCTCTCTCCTCCATATAAGAATAATATACATTTCATGGTGGCTGCACACTTTCAGAGTGGTGACCTGTCCTAAAGTAGGCTAGTAGTTCAGATCCTTCATCTGCCTGCAGCAACAACTCAGCACTTTGTGTGTGTGTGTGTGTGTGTGTGTGTGTGTGTGTGTGTGTGTGTGTGTGTGTGTGTGTGTGTTACCTCATATAGTTCTGCTCTGAGCTGATGTCTGATGTTACTGAAGCAGTAATCTAAGTCCACGTTAGCCTTATGTTGCACACATCATCACAGCTTAGTTCCTTTGTTTCTGACTCACATTCAACCCCACAGTGAAAATGTTTTAAGCACTTACTTGATTCAAACAGACATTATAAATCAGAAATAAATTTGCTACAAACAGCTATTTTTTTACAATAAAACCCCATGTTTTTATTTATTTATTTGTTGTAAAGTCTTTGGTGTGTCTTATATGATTTTCAGGGATTTCCTATTATTCAGCTCTAACATCTGATAAAAGTGACTAAATCATCTCATTGTTTATCTGGTGAAAACCCTTCATCTCTACAGTAGGCTGTGATAAGTCCAGGTTTAGATGCAGAGCTGAAGCACAGCAGAGAGGGACAAGGAGGGGCCAAATATGAAATAAATCATTTTGATTCATTGGTCGTTTTACAGTTATGACAAAATAACTGTTTACTCTTGGTTTTTGTTGTTTATTTTGGTCAAAAAGGATTAAAATGTAGAATAAATATGATCTCTTTGAGGCAAATCTTGAGCTTCAAAAGCTTTGAACCCTTTGAGGCATAATGGTCATTGGTCACTAAACAGTGGACAGGTACTCAAAATTATTAATATTATTGTTATTTTTTATCAGCCATTTAAGACTTAATTGCATTTAAGCTCCTCCATTTGGACTTCAGTAAGTCAAGCCAACATATTTCATGTTCAGAATGCACGCTGACCACCGAGGTGGACATGTAATAAATTATTTGCAAATTATTAAATTTCCTCTCCCTGGGCTGCCACCTTACCGTGGTGGAGGGGTTTGAGTGTCTCAATGATCCTAGGAGCTAAGTTGTCTGAGGCTTTATGCCTCTGGTAGGGTCACCCATGGCAACCAGGTCCTAGGTGAGGGATCAGAGCAGCCCGAAGACCTCTTATGATGAATTATATAAATGGAAACAGTGTTTACTCGCCCAGATGTGGGTCACTGGGGCCCCCCTCTGGAGCCAGACCTGGAGGTGGTGCACGTTGGCGAGCGCCTGGTGGCCGGGCTTTCACCCATGGAGCCTGGCCAGGGACAGCCCGAAGAAGAAACGTGGGTCCCCCTTCCCATGGGCTCACCACTCGTAGGAAGGGCCAAAGGGGTAGGGTGCAGTGTGTGACGGGTGGTAGTCGAGGGCGGGACCTTGGCGGTCTGATCCTCGGCTACAGAAGCTGGCTCTTGGCACATGGAATGTCACCTCTCTGGTGGGGAAGGAGCCTGAGTTGGTGTGTGAGGTTGAGGGGTTCCATCTAGATATAGTCGGACTCACCTCAGCGCATGGCTCTGGCTCTGGAACCAGTTTCCTTGAGAGGGGTTGGACTCTCTACCACTCTGGAGTTGCTCCCACTGAGAGGTGCCGAGCAGGGGTGGGTATACTAGTTGCTCCCCCATCTTGGTGCCTGTACGTTGGGGTTTACCCCAGTGAACGAGAGGGTAGCCTCCCTCCGCCTACGTGTGGGGGGACGGGTTCTGACTGTGGTCTGTGCTTATGCACCAAACTACAGTTCAGACTACCCACCCTTTTTGGAGACCTTAGAGGGGGTGGTGAAAAGTGCTCCTTCCGGTGACTCCCTCATTCTGCTGGGGGACTTCAACGCTCACGTGGGCAACGACAGTGAGACCTGGAGAGGTGTGGTTGGGAGGAATGACCCCCCCTGATCTGAATTCGAGTGGTGTTTTGTTATTGGACTTCTGTGCCAGTCATGGATTGTCCATGATGAACACCATGTTCAGACATAAAGTTGTCCATATGTGCTCTTGGCGCCAGGATACCTTAGGCCGCAGCTCGATGATCGACTTTGTTGTTGTTTCATCTGACCTGCGGCCGCATGTCTTGGACACTCGAGTGGAGAAGGGCGGAGCTGTCAACTGACGACTACGTGGTGATGTGTTGGCTCAGATGATGGGGGAGGATGCCGGTCAGACCAGGCAGGCCCAAACGTATCGTGAGGGTCTGCTGGGAACATCTGGCAGAGTCTCCTGTCAGAAGGAGCTTCAATTCCCACCTCCGACAGAACTTCCAAAATGTTCCGGGGGAGGCGCGGGACATTGAGTCTGAATGGACCCTTTTCCGTGCCTCCTTTGTTGAGGCGGCCGACCGGAACTGTGGTCGCAGGATGGTGGCAACCCCCAAACCCGCTGGTGGACACCAGCGGTTAGGGATGCTGTCAAGCTGAAGAAAGAGTCCTATCAGGTCTTTTTGGTCTGTGGGACTCCAGAGGCAGCTGATGGGTACCGGCAGTCCAAGCGGAACGCAGCTCGGGTGGTCGCCGAGGCAAAAACCAGGGAGCGAGACTTCCGTACTGCTTCGAGGAGACTCTGGTCCACCTTCCAGCGCCTCGGGGGGGGGGGGGGGGGGGGGGAGGGGGGAGCAGTGTGCTACCAACACTATCTATAGTGGGGACGGTGTGCTGCTGACCTCTACTCAGGACGTTGTGGATCGGTGGGCAGAATACTTCGAAGACCTCCTCAATCCCACTGACACGTCTTCCAGTGGGGAAGCAGAGTCTGGGGACTTTGAGTTGGCCTCTCAAATCTCTGGTGCTGAGGTCACTGAGGTGGTTAAAAAGCTCCTCTGTGGCAAGGCTCCAGGGGTGGATGAGATCCGCCCAGAGTTCCTTAAGGCTCTGGATGTTGTGGGGCTGTGTTGGCTGACGCTGTACTGCAATATCGCGTGGACATTGGGGGCAGTCCCACTGGACTGGCAGACCCGGGTGGTGAAAAGTGGACATGTCCGGGGAAAACGGAACGTACGGTCACCATAGTCCTCATAAAGCGGGAAATTATAGATACAGTATTTTGCTCGTGCCCTTGCTGCCCTGCGCCCTTTAGAGTTCGTGGGCCCTGGGCAATTGCCCAGTTGCCCATATGGTTAATCCGGCCTTGCCTCGGAGATCCAAAGGGAGGAGTGGGCGGCGCCGCTCAGCTGTCAGATCTCGATCTCCGCGGCGTGAGACAGAGCCACTCCCCACTCCAAAATGCATGTACATTATTGCCAAATTATAAAATAAGTATAAATTCAGACAGTCCAGGTTGTCCTGAAAAAAAAGATACCCCATAAGGCAATATTTATTGTTTTTATTAGAAAATACAAGAAAAACCCAAAATGAGTCAAAAACGGTGATTTACACCCTGGACCCCAGAGGGCTAATAATTTTTTAAAAATTGTTATTTGCTATATTTAGTCATATTTTTTATAAATGTACAGTCTAGATTACCATTCTAAATTATAAAAAACATTCGTCATAAATGTTTGTTGGTTTCACGGTAACTTTTGTCCAATTTGGATTTTATGTTTTTGAGTGATTTAAGGTCTCATTTGCAACCCCTTTATGCCCAAATATAAAAAATAAGTATAAATTCATAAAGTCCAGGTTGTGCTGAAAAGATTGACACCACATAAGGCAGTGGTTATGGTTTTTATTTTGGAAATACAAAGGAAAACTCTAAATTAGTCAAAAACGGCAAATTACACCCTGGACCCCAGAGGGTTAAGGGACAAGTAGTCCTGGAGCTGAGAGTAAACAACTTTTTCAAGAACCTTAGACAGAGAAGTCAGTTTTGAAACTGGCCTAAAATTTGAGACAACAGTCTGGTCAAGATTTGGCTTTTTGAGAAGAGGCTGCTTAAAACACTGGGGAACACGACCTGAAGAAAGGGAAGTGTTAATCAACTTCAGGATGAAGGAACCAACACTGTCAAATGCTTTTTTTTTTGGCAAAAAAGATGGAAGACAGTCCAAGGGGCAATAAGAAGATCTCAAGTGATGAACAATAACTGATAATTCCTCTAAAGAGACAAGTTCAAGTTGGCACCAGGAGGAAAAGCACTGAGGAAAAGAACTAAGGTCAGAAACAGAAAAGAATGAAATAGAGGACCTAATCTCCTGGACTTTATCTAAGAAAAAAGCTTGGAATTTGTCACATAAATTTTGTGAGGGAGGAACACCACTGTCATTTCTTGGATTAACAATACTGTTAAAAACTTTTAAAAGAACCTGGGCTCCATGTCTGTTTGCGAATACCAGGTTACACATAAACTGAGATTTAGCTGATTTTACACAGTTTTGAAAAGCAGACAAACATTCCCGCAGTGACTAAAGACACATTCAAACAGTCCTTTCTCCACTTCCTTTCAGCGCGTCGGCACTCACGTCTGAGTGCACGGGTGGCATCATTCGGCCATGGCTCAGATTTTGATTTAGAGCGCATCGCTTTAAGCGGAGCTACAGAGTTTAAAATGTCAGAACACGTCCTATTAAAACAGTCTGCCAGATCTTCGACACAAATTAAAGGTAAATATATTAGCATTTTGTTGCAATTTTGAAAAGCAAAAATAGTTACATAACTTTAAAGATGACCTCATGACTGCTATTTGACAAAAATATAAACAGATTATCACACATCATAATCTGAAACTTTATATAATTTATTATTTTTTTTAGAATAAAATACAAAAATGTATTTAACAGCAAAGTTTTTGCGCTAATGTTTATCAAATATACCGTAAATCCTCTAATACAGGCCGGTATTCAATTAAAGGCCGGGTCTCCAATTTTGGCCGGTGTCGGAGTCAGCGGAGGTAAATAATGGCCGGTCTCTTA